GGCTGACTCCAGGAAGCCCGGGGCAGAGCAGCTTTGTCCTGGGCTTCCTGGAGTCAGCTGCTGATCAGTTTTCAGCAGCGGCAGACTTGAGGACCAACCCGGCAGCAGTCAGCTGCTCTTCCCCAGGCATCCCCGATTCAGCTGCTGGTCAGTTTCAGCAGTGGCTGAATCGGGGAAGCCAGGTGCAGAGCAGCTCCAATTGTCTGGCAGCCAGAGCACTTCTGGGTTCCCGATGGTGCCGGACCATCAGGAGTGCCGGAGCATTGGATGCCGGACCAATGCAGTTTTACTGTAGCAGTTTTTACTGTATTAGCCCCCAGTCCTGCAAACATTTTAACTTTTAAGTTAACTTTACACAGAGATCAGTGGGACTGCTCACACGTGTAAGTGTTTGCAAGTTAGGGGCCATAGCTTTGTATTGATAATGACCGGGATATAAATTTCACAGGAAATGCTTTCTAAATCAGTTTTTAGCTATAAGCAGGCCCATCAAGGACTTTTCAGTGTATTAATAGGAATGGCGTAGAATTTCATATGTGTATCAGTAGTTTAAAAATATGTAATATCTTTTTTCTTTTAATTCTTTACTAGGAAATGACCCACTCCTGGCCACCTCCCTTGACAGCTATCCACACGCCTAGCACAGCTGAACCTTCAAAATTTCCTTTTCCAATAAAGGTAAAAAACCAATCTCCGATGCTCCCCTATATACTTTTTAACATGTAAGGCCTGTCTGTGCTTAAAACTTAGGTTGGCATACCTGTGATGCTTAGGGGTGTGAAAAATCCATCTACTCATATTGTAGCCACAACTAAGGCAAGGGAAGAAGAATGGTGGAAAGTTCAACAAAACCATCCTTTAGAGAGGTGCAGTTTCTTCAGTGATGGAACAACTTTCTGCTGGGCTACTTTGCATCTACAGTTTGGGGTTACAGTTCTGCAGCCATATTGCTTTAGTGCCCACTGTGCAGACATGGCCTAGAATAGAGCTTTCAACTAGGATACATTTTCACCTGAGCTTGTCTCTTTCAGAACAGCAACAAGCTGGTTTTATTTAGAACACTCAGATATGAAATGAAAGCAGGGTGACTTTTTTAAATATAAAATCACAATACCTTATTTTAAACCCATCTTTTTGCATCCAAATTAGATCAGCTTTTGCTTCTAAGTTTGGTTTGTTTGTCTGTTTGGGACACACACTTTCTGTATATGTCCAGTTTTACTTAACTCTTTCCTTTTTTTTATTTTACACTAAAGTCTTATTGTTTGTTATAAAACACATCTTGAGCAGTAGCAAAACTTGGATGAATAATCAGGAAAAGAAAAATCCCAATGTATGTGTGTCAGGATCTTGGTCTCCAAATATAACATATAATTTCACAAAGATTTTCAACGTCTCATCTGTGTTATAGCATAAATAACTTCTTTTTATTAATAAAAATGTCCTCATAAATGTTTGCCAAATCTTCTTTTCACTCAAAAAACAACATACTAATATATATGTGTACTATTGACATTAAATAGTACATCTCATCCTTGTCCAGGGTATGTGATTTTAGTACATCTTAACCTTATAACGAAAACAGAAGGTCAGACTTCCAACAAGATAGACTTTCATATAAAAATAGGTAACTCCATTTAAACTGTTGGTCCTGATTTTTAGAAGTGCTGAATAGCCCCAAATCTATTTAAAGTTTTTAGATGCTGTGAATGAGCTCTCAATGCCTCTACAAAATCAGAGCCTCTGCCTCTGGAAATGACACCAAAATGCAACCACCTGCAAATAGGCATCTATTCTAATAATACTAGGTCTAGTTCTCTGAGAAAACTGAAGAAGAGCTGTGTTTAAGCTGGAAAGATTGTCTGTCTTGCCTGCAGAAGCTGTTCCTATACAAGATTTTATCTCACCCATCTTGTCGCTTTCAACTTTTTAATATTTAGCTTTTATTCTTTTTCTTTCTAGGAATCCCAACGTGTTGGATCTGTAATACAGAGCCGGAGTAAGTAAAAGGGGAAAAAAAACCAAATTAGACATGATACTGTAGAAGACAGCATGCATACAGAATGGGGGTGGGAGGAGTATATGTGTGTGTATTCTACATAGGGAGAGGTTTTCAAAAGGATTTAAATGTTTTAAGAGTGCAAATCCCAGAGCTTTGCTGAGTAGAGATGATCTTAAGCACATACTCAGTTTTAAGCATTCTTGAGGACTTTGTTGATTTTTTTTATTTACTTTATAGATATAATATTAGGAAAATCTGTCTTGAATGGTCAGTAGCCAGAGTGATATGTTAGATCAGCATCATATGTCTGTGAAAATTCTTGACCCAAAGATCAAGTTATTTAAAAAAACAAATAAAAGGTCAGTTCAATACAATGTCACAAATGAAATACATAACACGAAGTTTGTTTCTTTGGTTTTACAGAGCAGTGTGATGCACCTTCAAAACGATTGCCTACTTCACAGCAAGGAACATCGTAAGTAACCCAGTTAACCTCTTGGCAATATGTGCAGTGAGTTGCCGTTATGGAATTATGGTGGGCGTATTACCTGTTTTCAACTGTTGTTTACTAGATTTTTGTGGAGATGGGAAGTTTTAGCAATCCTCTTTCAAAAATTTAGGGCCTGAGGCAACACACTTTGAAGTCAAAGGAAAGACTTCATTAGACTTCAGTGGGCATAAGATCAGGCCCTTAAGGAACTGGATTTTTCCAATATTACTGTTAATATGCTTTGAGGGTTTTTCCTCTATCTCTGCTTAATATCTAGAATCATAGGTCTGGAAGAGACCTCAGGAGGTCATCGAGTCCAGCCCCCTACTTAAAGCAAGACCAACCCCAACTAAATCATCACAGCCAGGATTTTGCCAAGCTGGGACTTAGCAACCTCTAGGGATGGAGATTCCACCACCTCCCTAGGTAACCCATTCCAGTGCTTCCCCACCCTCCTAGTGAAATAGCTTTTCCTAATATCCAATGTAGACCACCCCCACTGCAAGTTGAGACCAATTGCTCCTTGTTCTGCCATTGTCACTACTGAGAGCAGCCTCCCTCCTTCCTCTTTGGAACCTCCCTTCAGGTAGTTAAAGGCTACTATCAAATCCCCTCTCACTCTTCTCTTCTTCTGTAGACTAAACAAGCCAAGTCCCTCAGGGTATGTCTACACTTACACCCTCTTTCGAGAGAGGAATGCAGATGCAGACAAGTGAAATTGCAAATGAAGCACAGATTTGAATTTTCCGTGTTTCATTTGTATAATCGTGGACCGCCGCTATTTTGAAATACCCTATTTCGAAATAACAAATGCTGTGTATACATGGTTATTTTGAAAGAAACCCCTTCTTTCGAAATAACACTTACTCCTCAAAAAATGAGGTTTACCGATTATTTTGAAAGAAGGGGTTTCTTTCAAAATAACCGTGTATACACAGCATTTGTTATTTCGAAATAGGGTAAGTGTTATTTCGAAAGAAGGGGTTTCTTTCAAAATAACCGCATCTACACAGCGTTTATTTAAAAAATGGGGCATTTCAAAATAGCGGCGGTCCACGATTATGTAAATGAAGCATGGGAAATTCAAATCTACACTTCATTTCCAATTTCACTCAGCTGCATTTGTATCCCTCTCTCAAAAGAGGGTGTAAGTGTAGATATACCCACTGACTCTCCTCGTAAGTCATGTGCTCCAGTCCCCTAATCATTTTTGATGCCTTCTCCTAACCCTCTTCAATGCGTCAACATCCTTTCTGTAATGGGGGACCCAGAATTGAATGCGATGCTCCAGATGTGGCCTCACCAGCACCAATTAAAGGGGAATAATCACTTCTCTGGATCTTCTGGCAGTGTTCTTCCTAATGTACCCTAATATGTCATTAGTTTGGCTACAAGGGCACACTGTTGACTCATATCCAGCTTCTCATCCACTGCAATCCTCAGGTCCTTTTTGCTCAGCTGCTGCTTGTGTTCATGTGCAGACACCTTAGATAACTAGCTGATTGCCCTGCCTTCTCCATACGAATCAGCGGTCCTCCTCTGTTGCACCATTCTCCTTGTATTTCTTCTAGCTACACTCACTGTGAACTACAAATAGTACGTGAAGTTCTTGTCTTCTGTTTCTTTTCATGTACAGTATCTAGTTTAAATTATATAGTTAGTAAAGTTCCTAGTTCCATCCTTTCTTTTAGGAAGAAGAACTTGAATTTCTGATTTATTAGTCAAGCATTTACTTCTTACAGTTTCAGATTCAGATTTTTTTTTATATACTTAGAGTACTGTTGGATTTTGGGAAACTATAGATTAAAATGATATTGCCTTGATGAAAAATATAATATTGGTTTATTGGATTACTATTTTCATATGTCTAAAAAAAAGTTTCCTGAATTATTTTATTGCTGGTTTCTTGTTTGTTTTAAAGGTGAATCATTCTCTAACCTTTTAGATAACTAGGAAGACTTTATTTCTGTTTCTGCAAATTAGGGTGTAAATTTGTGCTTAAGCCAAACAAACATGAAAAATTCAACGAATAGTTTAGCAGCACCTTAAAGACTAACTAAATATGTACATGGTATCATGAGCTTTCATGGGCACAACCCACTTTTTCAGATGACTTGAGTATTAAAAGTCCAGATCCAAGAATAAATAAGAGAAGGTGAGGGGAGAGGGGGAAAAAAGGAAGATAGTGAACTAGATTGTTCAGGTTATTTGCACCTGTATAAGTTGGTTGGTTAAGTCATTAGGATGTGGAAGGTAGTGCGTGAGGCAGCCGATATCTTTATTCATTCCTCTCTGATAGGAATCAAACTTGTAAATGAAGTTAAGTTCCAACCCTTCCCTGTGTATTTGGCTTGTGGGATTGGCCTGAAACAAAACAGTGACTGAGATCCATTAATGAGTACACAAGCAGGTTAAAGTGTTCCCCAACAGGTTTCTGTATGTTGTCTTTTCAGATATCTGATTTGTGTCCATTAATTCTTTCCCATAGAGACTGTCCAGTTTGGCCAGTATAGATGGCAAAGGGGCATTAGTGGAGTTAAGGTGCAGTTACCCAGGTGTAGTGGCTGATGTGGTTGGGTCCAGTGATGAAATCACTTGTGAAGATGTGTGAACAGAATTGGCACCGGGGCTGAATGCAGGGATGGATTCCTGGGTGATTATGATGGAGGTGTGTTGTGTAGTTTGAGGTTAGGGCAGTGGTCTCCAACCTTTTTACACCCAAGATCACTTTTTAAATGACAAAACAAGCCAAGATCTACTGCCCCGCCCCTTTCTTGAAGCCCTGCCCCTTCCTTTCTATTCTCCTCCTCTCCATCACTTGCTATCCCCAACCCTTATACTGCTGCTTTTTTCCCAATTCTTCTGTAGGAAGAGGTTTTTCCAATATTTGTCCTGTCTAGACTGGACCAAATGTCAGAAAAACCCCTTCTTTTGGAAGCTCCCTTATTCCTTATGGAAAGAGGACTCTAGGAGTTACCGAAAGAGCACGTTTGCTCTTCCACTAAAAAAAGCGGGAGGATAAATGCATCCCTGGATGCAGAAGATATCTCCGGAATCCTGAAAAACTCCTGCAGTCTAACCTTACCCTTGCTGGGTTGAGGCAGGATGTGTAGGCTCTGGGGTGGGAATGAGGGATTTGGGTGTGGGAAGGGGTGAGAGATGCAAGCTCTGGGAGGAAATCTGGATGCAGGAGGAGGTGGAGAAGGGGACGCTGGGTCAGGGAAGGGGCTTCAGGCTGGGCAGTGTTGGGGTCAGATGATGGGTTAGGGTACTAAGCAAGCCACAGGCTTATGGCTATGAGGGTGGGGAATTTGGGTTAGGGTATGTGAGGGGCTCAGGGCAGGTGGTTCCAGTGTATGATAGGTTCAGATCGAGGGTCTGGGGGAAGAGGGAGTGCAGCAGTGTTATGATGCTGAGGGCAGATGGGGGCTTGACCCTAGTTGGGGGTTTGTTGGCCAGGCTTCATTTTTAAATAAAATACTATGTCAAACACAAAAAGTTTCTGCATTGTCTTTATTTATGAGAAGGGCACGGAACCTGTTTTGAGTCAGGGGTCACTGACCCACAGAAAAGTTAGTTGGGGCCACACAAGTGAGATACAAGATAAAAATGCCTCCAAAACCCCCACAAGCCTCACTAATGTGGCTCCAGCGGTGCTGGTGGGAGCAGGGGACATGGTATTGGGGACATGGGACATTGGCTGCAAGGGTGGCCAATCGCGCAGCTGCTCCATCTGAAGTGCTAGCAATGCCTGGAGCATGTGCGCTTGCAACTCCATAATGTTTAGGAGCAGCTCCATGTTCTACTTCTGCTTCTTCTCACTGTAGCTCCACTCCTTCAAATTCATTCTTTTCAGCAGCAGCATGACTCATGACGTCATACATCCCTAATCCAGAGTGCAGCAAGCCCTATGCTTCTCATGGATGTGGTTTATCTGGAGCGTAGCAACTGCGGAGCTAGTGTGCACCAAATACTTTGACAGTGTGGACACCTCAGAAGTTACAGTGCTACTGCTCAGTAAGGGTACCTCTAGACTGCAGCACTGTTTTGGGATATGTCTGGTATCCCCAAATAGCTATTTCACATCTTTTGAACCAGCCCATTATTTCAAAATAGAATTCAAAATAATGGGCTCACTGTTCCAATGTTCCTGTACCCCTCTGTCCACGAGGGTTAAGGGACGTTTTAGAATAGCAGTTTATTTTGACGTTTATTTTGAAATTAGATTGAAATGAGAGACACAATTTGCATAGCTCAAATTGCATATCTTATTTTGACTTACGGGTGCAGTATAGATGTACCCTAACTTGCCAGTGTAGACTTGGCCTTAAGGTGGTTGTGTTCCATGCTGAAAGAGTGGAAAAGGGCCATTTGTTGGTAGGGATATAAAATCCCATTTAACCAGTTAAGCAACTAAGCAAGATCCCAGGGTGGGAGGCTTCTCCAGCCCAGCTGTTGACAGAGGTTAACATTTATCCAGTAAGAATCCCCCGCTAAGGTTAGGTTAATCGGTTACCTGTTCACATCCCTTTTTGTTAGCACTCTTTTAAAAGGAAACTGTAAAAGCAGAGCAACACAAACAAAACCTTCAAAACAATCAATGTTTCCTGTTCATTCCATGTTCATAGTTCCCCTTGACTGTTAATGGCAGCAATATTTAGGGGAATGGTATAGCTAGTCTCATTACCTTTAGAATTATGATAATTTAATTTAGTGCTTGAAAAAGCTCATGTTCTCTGAGGGGAATCATGGCTTACTGTTCCACCATGACTGTCAACTGCTGCTTAACTGGTAAAATAGATCTTATCTGACTGACAAGACAGTTTCTCCTGCAGTTTCATTTGGATTTGTGATCCAGTACTTCCTATTTTAAGCTGCTGTGCTGTGTGTGTTGTTAAACAGCTGCCAAGTTCTACCATCAAGCTGGGTCATATTTCAGTGGTTTAGAAATGATTTATGAAAGTGCATCTGTGTGTATTTGTGCTTACTCTGTGCTTTTTTGCATGAAAGGGCAGTTAAATGTAAGATAACTTCTTGTTTATTTGTATAAATGGGGGAATGGTATCTGAAAGAAATAAATTGCTAAGTTCATTTAAGCTTTTATTGTAGTGTCTTCACAGCATCTTAATATCAAACTGCTTAAAAACTTTAAAGGTGACCTGCAAAAGGTTTTTTTTTAGTTGGATGTTTGCCCTCTTTTATTATAATTATTTATTTTTTGTACAGATTGGACCTCCCTGGTCTGGTATCTCAGGAACTGACTGGTCCCAGATCAGGGAATCTGTGGGACTAGGGGAAGTCTCCTGCCATCAGCCCTGTCAGAATGCTGCCTCTCCCTGCCACCAGCTCCTTTGACCATGCTACCAGCTGGACGATGCAGCTGCCCTGGCCCTGCTGCCAGAGCGGCTTCCCCAGCCCCACTGGTGATACGCAGCCACCGCCCCACTGCCATGGCAACAGCCTTACTGTTGGGTGGAATGTGGCTACCCTGATCACAGCTGGATTGCTGCAGCAGCTCCAGCCCTGCCGCAGGGGTAGCATGCAGCCCTGGTTAGGCTGCCAGCCTGCGCTGATTCCAGTTGTGTTGCCGCGGCCCCAGCTCCTCTGTCATGGCCCTGGCTGGACTTTCCCTGCTGGGCTGCTGCAGCCTGGCCTTGCTGCCAGCTGAGCTGCCATGGCCCCGGACTACTGTGCATGGCACTTCCAGCTACCATCAGCCTCACCTGTGTGGGGCTCTCAGCTTCTGACCAGAATCACATTGTGCTAGGGTCTGTAAAAACTAAAATGAAGGCCTGACAGGATTTTTCAAAACTTTCTTGAGAAACATCAGGAGTGTCAAAATTGTATTTCCCAGTTTTGCTGGAGGACTGCCTAGGTGTCCCAGAAAAAGTTAGTGAAAATTCTCATGCACCTTAAAGAGGTGGGGGTGTTATTGTGTTAACGGAGCAATCATGAATGATCATTAAGCATTAGCTTCAACAGGTATTTAAAACAAAATATGTTTTTAAACTCTCCGACTAAAAATTCCTTTCCCCGCTCAGCTCCTCAGCTTTGAGTCTCATGTCTTTTGAAATACAATTTCACTAGTTCTCTAATTGCTGTACTATTCAGTTTCAGGGGAATTAAGACTTGAATTTCTAATCTTTTGAGTTAGTAGGATTTTTTGGTCAATAGACTTTCAGGCTACCTTTGTACATCATACAGAAGAAGAAGAAAAGCAGTCAGTGTGATTCTTGCTAATTTTTGCCCTCCTTTTCAAGGCACTTTATTGATTAATGCTCTGGGACAGCTGGAATAATCATACTCTGTGATAGTCATCTACATATTTGTGAATAAGTTTGTGAAGAAATTCTGCTCTTGGATGCACACATTCTTGGCTCCCAGTGACACTGGAGTAGAATTTGTCTCTTAGTATTTTGTATTTCCATTTGTTGCACAAAATGTTACATTTCCCAGTGTGATGTGCAGAAGCATCGCATTCTGTTAGGTAGAAGAGGAAGACTATTGGAGAATGCAGCTTGAACTTGACACTTGTTTAGACATTCTTGATTTGAAGACTTCAGCTGGAAAAAGTGAACGTATGTGAAAATGGAAGTACTGTAATCGCAATTCAATAAAAACAACGTGAGTGCCCATAGGTTGCTTCAGATACCTGAAAACACTTTAATGTTCTCTTGGTACACTTTGTTGCCTATTGGATAGAGCACTTGACTGAAATTCAAGAAATCTGATCTTAGTATCAAACTACTTAAGGTCTTTAAGGGTTACCTGCCAAGGAATTTTGCCTAGCTCTGCCAGTGGCTTGCTGGATGATCTTAGAGAAGTCATTTCCCCCTGTGCCTCAGTTACTTCATCTGTGAAATGGATAGAGTGCTACTGACCTTCTTTGTAAATACTTTGAGATGTGTAAGATGTAAGAGCTAGGCAATGTATTATTATATTCTGTTCAGGTGATAATGGCATTTAACACTAGAATGTTTTATGTCTTGGAACAAAGTCCCAAAGGGTTTTTGAAGTATGGTATCAGAACTAGATGCCCAACTTCAGAAAGACCAAGTTTTGCATCACAGTCTATCTTTTTAAAGAATATCCATCTATATGTACTGCCTTTTGTTTGTCTTTCAGAATGCTACAAGATGACCTCCAGCTCAGCGATAGTGAAGACAGTGATGATGATCAGGTCAGTTTTACAAATTTTGTATGATACTACACACAGAGTGATCCCTTTAAATCAATGTGAGTTTTTAAGGTCTTTAACCTAACCTCCCTTCCCCCCTCCTTTTTTGTTTAAATACTTAGGTCTCTGAAAAGCCACCACCCTCATCTGCTCCTCCAAGGTAATATTTGTTCCAAAACTACTAACTAGGAAGAAAAATATGCTTGGTATTATGTATACAGAATGGGGGAGGATGAAAGTTATTTTGATTTTTGCAGATCCTCAGTTGGTATGAATTGGAGTAGCTTCATGTAACTAAACAAGGAGCTTTTCTGATGTGTCCCAGCTCAGGACCTGGCACTTAGTACTTTTGTAGAGATGAATGAGTGACTGAGTAGCTTATTCTAGAAGTTCAATTGCATTGCATAACCAGGTTTCAATGATGTTTTGAGGTTCATTTTTATATGCTCACACTCTTGCTTATAGCAAACACTGAAGTCAAGACAAATTTAAACATTTAAATTAAGAAAGTAATGTGGTTGCAATTTTTGTTCTGGTGTAGAATAAAAGTAATTGGTCAAAAGGCAACTAATTAAAGTGATTGTGCAAATCAGAGGAGAAACTCCTCTGATTTGTAAAGTTATGAGAAAATATTGTCCTTGTGTTCTCTTTGAGATAAATGTATGTATATATAGATAGATAGATGTGTATGCACGTATGCAATATATAATAAATGTGAATCAAGCTCAGGCTATGGACAGGGCTGAATCAAGATTTTTATTACAGTCAACAGACCTGAGCTATGAAGTTGTTATAGCTAAATGCTACCCTCACTCACCAATGGATTTCCTTTGGAGAATAATAGGAGTCTTGCACCTTGGCCAAGAGTAGAACATGGTCCTTATGAATTAACAGACGTTTCTGTTACTGTATTTTTTATTGCTTTCAATAGGGCAAAGATGGTATTTTCAGGACCTCCACTATTTCTGTCATTTGGCTTACTTTGCTGCTTGCATGTGCATTTAGCTCAGTTTGCATGCACATTTGCAGTAGCTTCATATGATAAATATACATGAGGTAATACCTCTATATTATTTGAGATGTTTCAGAAAAATTCCCAAAAGCACAAATGAGTCATATGCCTAATTTTCATTGACTATTTTAACCATTTGTGCTTTTGAAATTAAAATAATCATTAAGAGCCTCAGAATTAACATTCAACTGGGATGAATAGAGGCATGCCTAACTTCTTTGCAAGCTGCTGCTTGAGGCTAATACAGTGTGGTGGTGGGGAGACTGTATCTCTAAGATGCTTTTTATAGTTGCAAGGACTTGAGAACTAGGGCTGGAGTGCCTAGTGTTAAAGCACCTAATTAATTGATTTGTTAATGAAGTGTGCACCTGCAGCTATCATTGACTCCAGTAGAGATGAGGGTACTTAGGCATTTAGATGCCTAAATTGTTAGAAAGGTGTTTAACATTAAGGAGCCAGGTCTGAAAAAGTGAAATCACCAAAATTTCATTTTGTCTTGGGGCTGGATAAATAGGTTAAGAGTTTCCGTTTATACCTCTAACTTGCTACCAGTGTGTGTTTAGTTCTTTCCTTGAGCTCATACTATATGCAATATCACATTGGCGAGTAATGTGGAAGTCTGATTTTTAATCACTAGGAAGCTAGAAACATTTGCATGTGCACAGTACAACAAAGGGATAAGCTACACCTCAAGTTTTCTGGTATGACAGCTGAGGTTCAAGGTGGAATGCATGGGTATATGTTTAAAAAAAAACGCAGAACCCTTCCTAGTGGAGACAGCTTAAGTATAGACCACATTTTTGGCCTGTTAACTATATCCTTCAAGCAAAGAATAATGGTCTAAAAAGTTAAACTTGCATAGGGGCATGACAAATTTTTGGCAGTGACAATTAGTTTGCTTATGAAAGAATTCTTAAAATGTAGTTTTCTCTTAGTACGAAGCTGGATCATCAAGAACACTGACTGCTACTCATGCAAACCAATCAGCATTAATGTGGGTTTTCCTACTTTAAAACCATTATTTTCATTTTTAACCCCTTTCCAAAACATGCATCATGCTGGTCAGTCCTAACTTCCGCTGAACTACGTACATTCCTTTTTTAAGCAGATTACAGAAGTGAGCTCTGTGGGGAGGGGTCGTCTGGGGACAATATGCCACGTTAGCATGGCTATTCAGCTAGGTAATGCTTCTGATGAAATGGAAACAGAAGGAGTCATATATGGTGAGGAGAGAAATTTGTATAAAACCTTTTCAGGAAAACTAATTTTCTTTCATTACTTATTTAGCTCTTTACCTGGCATCTGTTAGTTCCATTGAGTAATGGTCTTTCAGAAAACTGGGCTTTAAAAATCTCCAGTGACAGTTTTTACTTTTGCCATGTACTAACCTCTTATGGTAGCAGGTGAAACTTTGATCACATGTTTATATGGCTAAAGGGAAGAAGATTTTGAGCCATTACTTTTATGGTACAATGATTAATTCTCTTTACCTGACTGCCTTCTTGCCAATATCAAAAGTGAGCAGCATAGTATTTCCGCAAAAGCACTGACAATCTTACATGAGATCATCAGTGCTTTTCTGGAAATTCAAGCGGCCAGTGTAGACAGCTGTCAAGTTTTTCCGGAAAAGCTGCTGATTTTCCGGGAAAACTTGCCAGTCTAGACACAGCTGAAGTGAATGCTTTAGAAGAAAGTACAGGGGGAGGTACCAAACATGCCATTAATGCATAAGATGTTACATGCAGTGTGTATCAGAAATTGTTTATTTTTTTCTATAAATGTTGGGGTATATCACTTAACTCTTTGGCCAGCCTAGGTGGTGATAGTGAAATCCATGCTAACGTCTGAGCTGAGTCCATTGTCCCGGGTACAAATATGTTGTGGTTCAGAGGCCATCTGGCCACCACCGACTATTAATGTACTTCATTCAACAATAAACCTGACTAGGGTCCCTTCATATATTATCTGAGTCTGTGGTCTTTGGGAACTCTCGTGAAGCCTATTATGCCAGCTACCGGCATAGAGCTGGCACAATATACTGAAGGAGCATATGAAAATGCACACAGCCAAACGTTTATCATCACTGATGAAGCAGGAAGATCTGTCAGGATGCCACACCAGTGAATCCTGATTTTACTGTATCGCTGTCCTGAGGTACTACTTCAGTGTTGCCTTGTCAATGAAAGTATAAAACCTTTACCCATGCTGCTTTCTGACTTTATCTCCTGATTGTTGTGCAGTGTCTTACAATCCCAGCCTGAGGGCGTGGCATCAGCACATTCCAGCAGTGCAGAGTCAGGGAGCACCAGTGATTCAGACAGCTCTTCAGATTCTGAGAGCGAGAGCGGTCTGAGTGACAGTGAAGCAAAAGAGCCACCAAGAATTTCCACATCTGAGGTACTGTGTGGTGACTGCATGGAAGATTAAGGAAGTCTACTGCCTCTGACTTCTCACTAAGCAAATACCAAAATACTTACAGGGAAGTTGCCTTGGAATAAAATCAACAAGTAGTCCTGTGCCACCTTTGAGACTAACAAAAATCTATAGTACAGGCAGTCCCCGGGTTATGTACAAGATAGGGACTGTAGGTTTGTTCTTAAGTTGAATTTGTATGTAAGTCGGAACTGGTACATATTGTAGGGGAAACTCTAGCCAAACATTTCTCCAGAGCTCAGTTTTATTCTCCCACACCTCACTTCCCTCAGTCCTTTATTCTCAAGCTGAGGTGTCTGCTGAGAAAAGCCGCTCCGCGTCTCCCTGGTCTGCTGGGGGGGGGGAGGGGCGCTAGCTTCGGGAGAAGCAGCTAGTGCGGGGTTGCCTCACCCCGTTTGTAAGTAGGGATCCGATGTAAGTCGGATCCATGTAACCCGGGGACTGCCTGTATAAAATATACCATTTACAGAGATGAGACTGAAAACTGGGTCCTTTTAAACAAAAGGAAATGCTTGTCACATGGGCTCAGAGACATCTCCTTTGGTGGAAGTAGCAGTAGATCCTTTAACCTCTTTGAGGGTAGGCTTCTAGAAAATAATGTCTGCGTATCTGCACAGATATTGACTCATATCTGCACAGTCAGTACGTTACATTAAGTGCAATGAGTTCATATGGTTAGAATACTCATTATGGATGTCAAGCATAGATTTGTAAAGCACAAATCATGTCAAACCAACTGATACCTAAGGCCAGCAGGGCAATGTGCAGCAAGGAAACTTTAGGTAAGTAGTAAAGGGCAGCATTATGTATCATGCTGAAGTTGCTATCCTTGAATTACATGCAGTAGCCAAGAGAGATTCTAAGAGGCAAGTGACATGGTTGAAATAATTGGTGCCTCGGTGTGCACTAATGTTCACCAGTGCTCTTTGATCTTTCCTGCTGTGAAATGGGACTGTAGGTTTGTTCTTAAGTTGAATTTGTATGTAAGTCGGAACTGGTACATATTGTAGGGGAAACTCTAGCCAAACATTTCTCCAGAGCTCAGTTTTATTCTCCCACAGCTCACTTCCCTCAGTCCTTTATTCTCAGGCTGAGCTGTCTGCTGAGAAAAGCCACTCTACGTCTCTCTGGTCTGCTGGGGAGGGGCGGGGGGCGCTAGCTTCGCGTCTCCCTGGTCGGCTGGGAGGAAGCAGCTAGTGCGGGGTTGCCTCACCCCGTTTGTAAGTAGGGATCCGATGTAAGTCGGATCCATGTAACCCGGGGACTGCCTGTATAATGAACTTTTGTAACCCAGTTCTTCAGATGATGAGCTGGGGTAGAAATAACAGAAACCAAATTATTTATAACGGGGGGGGAGGAGCGGGGAGAAAGTACCTGTCAATTGTAGGACTGCTGCTAGTGAGAGCAGGCTGGAAGTGTCCCATACTTAGCTTTTGATGTGAAAATGCGGTGTTAGAGGCAGGAGACTGGCTTTATATTACAACATCCACTTAATGTCTTTGTTCAACCCAAGGGAAACAGTGTCAAATTTGCAGATCAGTACCAATACTGCATTCTCTCTCCCTGTAATTGGCTGGTGACATTCCTTTGTGGAAGCATTGCTACTTTTAAATCCACGATTGAGTGCCCAGGCAGGTTAAAATGTTCCCCTTCAGATTTATGTGCACTACCATTTCTGATGCTTGATTTATGTCCGTTTATCCTTTGTTGTAGAAACTGTCCAGTTTGGCCAATATACATGGCAGAGGGGCATTGCTGATACTTGATGGCATACATCACACTAAAGGATGTGCAATTGTATGAGCCCCGATGTTGTGCTTATGTGGTTAGGTATTGTGATGGTGTCGCTTGTATAGATATGTGAATAGAGATGGCAATGGGATAAAATGTCATCCTCTTTCTACATACAAGTTCTTTTAAACCACATGCTACTTCCATAAACTTTTTCACTTGCTGTGAAACAATGCTTTGAAAGTAAAATAGACCTTGGTAATAGGACAATTGGGCTTCAGGAGGAGTATTTCAAAATCCTTGCCTGAATATTGCTCTCTTTTCCCCATTTCAAGCATTGCCTGCAGTGTTCACCCTAGAGAAGGGCAAGAACCAAACCCCAACTCTCTAGATGTTTGGATCAGTGTTTGACTTCAGTGCTCCAGGCTCACCGTTTGTTTATAATGATTATGAACCCTTTATTTGAGAGGCCTTTTATGGTGAGGCCAGGTTTTTTTGCTATTTAAAGTAAGGTCATTCTGTCTTAGAATAGTGCGTTTCCTTCTCAAATCAAACAGCAGTCATGTTTGATTACAGTATAAGAAACCTCTTTCTTAGATTTCATCTGAAATGATCAGATGCATGGGACGTCTCCATTATAATGTACCTGCATTTGCTGCTGTTGAGTTTGGATTGCTTTCTGCCCTCCTAGTGCTTTGGAGGCTTTATTGGTCTAATTGGGAATGCAAGCTATCAAAACTCAAGATAGTACTTCATAGTTTCATAATGGAAACCAGATGCATTTTTCAAATTGCTTACAAAATGAAAATATATTTTCCAAGTCCCTGGTAAGCATTAGATGCAGTGCTATAGGAGAACTTTCTGTCTCCATCAGTAGTGTATTGAGAGAATACCAATACAAAATAGTTTGAGGTGCCTTCATAGGGATGGGAAATACCTTTCAGTGTAGCTAAAGTATGCTTTAAAGACACAAGCTAGTTATTTCACAGCCACTATTCTAACTTGCATTGAGTCAACAACACTGGGTAATCAGTCAATAATATCTACTTCTGGCACAAGGCAACACAAGGCCAAACTTCCCTCCAAATGAAAGATCTCTTAATAATACAAAGGTGAAGCTTGTATGAGATCAGGAGTCTAATACAAATTGCTAGATTAGCCCTGTTCAAAAAGAAAGGATTTGATGTTGTGCCATTTAAAAGCTTTTCACTGTGACCTCTCCCTTAAATTCTTACACTTCCTGTGCCTTTAATAGTAGGGGTAAATTGTCGTGGATGTTGATAGCATCTAATTTGTCAAGCATCAGAATAACCCACAGGAATAACTTCCATCAAACTTCTTTCCTTTACAGCCTTACCCACTAACATCAAATAAATGGCAGCTGGACAACTGGCTAACAAAGGTGAACCAACCAACAGTGCCAACTGAGAATCTCTGTGATGTTAGTCATAGGCATGGTCATCAGGAGAGCAAGGGGCAAGGGAAAAGAAGCAGCAGCAGCTCTCACGAACATTCTGAATCAAATGAATTGCACTCCAAAAACTCAAGCAAAACAACCAGGATTCCCCAGGTGGTGCATCTTCCTAGCAAACAGACCTACCAGAAGTCTCCCCTGTGCACTGAGGAGCCCACTCAGAGGCACACAGTGGGTATCAAGAAGCCCTGTAAGAACCCACTACAAGAGGCACACAGAGCAAGCGTGAAAGTGAAAGGTAATCCTGGTCCATATGGAGTTAAAGAACATTCTTCCAGAGATAAGCCAAAAGTAAAAACGAAAGAGAGGCCAAAATCCACTGACAAAATGGAATTGAAACGGACAGGGCAAGAGCCCTTGGAAAAGAAAAAGCACAAGAACCCACACCAAGCCATTACTAAAACATTTTTGGACCCTAAGTCTGTGAAAGACATTATGTCTGGCAGTGCCTCAGAACATTTCCCCCTCAGTCCCATAGCTCAAGGCCAGACATTCACTAGGACTAGTGGCAAAAAGACTGCCATTGTGGTTAAAGAGGACTTCCATCGAGACAGACTTATTTTGCCTATCAGGGATAAGAAGCTGTTATCACCTCTGAGGGATTCCCCAGTCCCTCATGCCCTTGTTGTTAAAATTGAGCTGTGTCTCCTTTCAAGAATTCCTCAGCCACTAGGGAAAGGAAGTCACCCAAAGAAACTTGAAGGTAAAGAGCTCCCATGCACCAGGAAGCAGGATTTTGAAAAAAGAAGCACAGACTCTCTTCACAAGTCTCTCAAAAAGAGAAAGGTAAGAGGGAAAGGAGTGTTCTTTCAATGGTAGCAGTGTTTTTCAGTGGGCAGGGACAGTGAAAGTGGAAGAGACGTTTTAATATTTCAAAGTTGTTTCCATTTCAGATAATGAACCCAGTTTTCATCTCCTCCAATAATCACATCTTAATTTAATTTTGTATGGAAACAGTTATTACATATTTTTATTTATCAAAAACAAATTTACCAAATTAATGTCAGTAACTATTTGATAATGTTCTCATTTTTTGAAAGGTCACACACAAATATGCAGAGAGCTTTTAGCAAAATTTTGTGGTTTTTTGAAAAGCCATTGAAAAGTCTCCTCCCCCCCACCCGCAATTTGTCTAATTAAAGAAATTTCAACCAGCTCTAGGACAATGTAACATTACATTTTGCTAATGTTTCCCTGAATTGCTCCCTCTTTCAATTAATTGAATGTAGCTAAAGCTTCAGTAGAGAAGGCTATGGTGCCTTTTTTTCTACAATTTTCATGTTGATTGAAATGTTTTCCTTGCTGTGTGCATTCATCTGTATAACCCATTTAATATCAGTTTTAGGAGAGCATTGCTATCTCCTGTTTGTAAAGATGCTCTCAGTGAGAATAGTTCTATTTCAGCAGTGGTACGTATCTTGGGTCTTGTCTATACACAAAAGTTGTAGAAAGCAGTACAGCAGAACCAACAAGCACTTCAGGAATGGAGGTTGTATGTAACTCTGAAATGTTCAAAAGTCTCAGAGTGGTAGCTGTGGTAGACTATAACTTTAAAAATGAATAGTCCTGTGGTGCTTTAGAGATTAACAAAAATACCCCACTAGTTCAGATAGGCTGGAAGCTAGAGTGGAAATAACAGGAACACAGAATTTATAACAGAAAAGGAGTTGGGGAGAAGGGAAGGTACCTGTCAGTTGTGATACTGGTGCTAATGAGGCTAACTGAGTAGACTGCAGAAATCCCATACTTAGCTTTTGGTGTAAATGAGGTGTTAAATGCAGGGAAGACTGGTTTTATAATGTGACATCCAGTTAATGTCCTTGTTCAAGCCCAGGGAAATAGTGTCTAATTTGCGTATGAAGGTCAAATCCACATTCTTTCTCGTAATGGGCTTGTGAAATTCCTTTGTACAAGAATGGCTACTTTTAAATCCATTAATGACTGCCCAAGCAGGTTAAAATGTTCCCCAACAAAGCTTGTAACTCTGAACAAAACATTATGGTTCTTCTTTCAAAAATATGCAAATGAACAGTGATTTACTACAGTTTTGAAACACTGCTAATCTGCCTGTAACCATCTTAATTTAAATAAAACAAACACAGATAGTTTCCATACCTTATCTAATCTTTTAAAAAAAACCTTGTCATATCATTCCTTTTGTTTTTTAATAGTGTCTGTTTAAACACAAAACTCTGAAATATTTGCTTTTCAGGAGTGGGGTATCCTAGAAGCATACTAGAAATGCATGCTAGAATACTTAAGGAACTGAGTGGTGAAATAGCTGAGCCATTAGCTATTATTTTTAAAAAGTCTTGGAAGACAGGACAGATTCCAGAAGACTAGAAAAGGACACATATAATGCCTAGCTATAAAAAGGGAAATAAAGACAACCCAGGGAATTACAGACTAGTCAGATTAATTTCTGTACCAGGAAAGATAGCAGAGCAAATAATTAAGGAATCTATCTAGACCAGAGGTGGGTGATAATTTTTAATGGGGTGGGAGCACACCAAGAATTTGGTAAGTGGTCAAGGGCTACGCTTTTTCCATGATATTAATGGAAAAGGTACTGGGTCTGGGATGGAGGTTGGGTACAGAAGGGAGTTTGGGGTAAGGGATCGGGCTGCCGGAGGAAGTGTGGGATCTGAGATTGAGTATGGGTGAAGGAGGGGGTTGTAACTTGGGGCAGGGGACTAGAGTAGGGAGGAAATGCTGGGTGTGGGAGGGGGTTGTGACTTGGAGGTATGGTATAGGTGAAGGGGTGCAGGGGATTGTGACCTGGGGCAAGAGTGCAGGAGGATGTGCAGGGATTTGGGTTGTGACTGGGTGTAGCGGATTAGGGTGCAAGATTTGAAAGGAGTTGTGGGTGCAGGAGCAGGGGTGGAAAAGGTTTGGGTAACATGGGGTAACGGTCCGGGGGGCAGATGATTGGGGGGAGGGAGAGATTGGGATTCCAGAGGCAGACTAGCCAGGAGACACTTAGGTGCGGAGTGGGGGTGGGGCAGGCAGGGAGCCTGATGGAGGCTCCTGCTAACCTGATCTGATGTCTTGGTGGGCTGGATTCGGTCTGCAGGCTGTATTTTGCCCACCCCAATCTAGAAGATAATAAAGTAATACATAATAATCAGCATAGATTTGTAAAGCACAAATCATGTCGAACCAACTGATACCGTTTTTTTTATAGGGTGCACCCCTGCTCCTGCACCCACAGCTTTTTGGATAGGAGGGAAGTAGTAGATGTGGTATATCTAGACTTTTGGTACAATCTCACATGACCTTCTCATTAAGAATCTAGGGAAATTCAACCTAGCTGGAGCTATTACAAAGTGAGTGTTTGGCCAGTTGGATAAGCATTCCCAGAGGGTAGTTATCAATACAGGCAGTCCCCGGGTTACGTACAAGATAGGGACTGTAGGTTTGTTCTTAAGTTGAATTTGTATGTAAGTCGGAACTGGTACATATTGTAGGGGAAACTCTAGCCAAACATTTCTCCAGAGCTCAGTTTTATTCTCCCACACCTCACTTCCCTCAGTCCTTTAGTCTCAAGCTGAGGTGTCTGCTGAGAAAAGCCGCTCCGCGTCTCCCTGGTCTGCTGGGGGGGGGCGCTAGCTTCGGGAGAAGCAGCTAGTGCGGGGTTGCCTCACCCCGTTTGTAAGTAGGGATCCGATGTAATCATAGAATCATATCATAGAATAATAGGACTGGAAGGGACCTCGAGAGGTCATCGAGTCCAGCCCCCCGCCCTCAAGGCAGGATCAAGCTCCGTCTACACCATCCCTGACAGATGTCTATCTAAC